GGGGGGGGCGGGGGGGCAAATAATCTGGATAGACAAACCTGGATGGGGCACAGGTCCGTGAAGGTAAACGTGTGTGTATAATACACAGGAGGGTAGAAACACACTACGTAGAAATCGTCTACACACACACACTTGCGCAGGCGTACTCTAGATAGCGTAGAAATATAGATTTCTGTGCCCACCCAAAACAGGTGTCCAGTGCAAAATGTGGAGGGCTCTGTCTCAGGAGAAGACCTACTGACACTTCAGGCACATCCTAGACACACACACACACACACACACACACACAAACACATCCCTCACATCACCTATTGGGGGAAATGCACATGGATATACAGGCCAAGCTAGATTATTGACACGTGTATGCTTCCACTCGCCTCAACTGAACTCCACACACACACACATGTTCCCCAGGACATGTCAGTCCTGGGGTGACTAAGCCAGGAGGGTTTGCTCAACATCACGCTGGGGTGTCTGCCATGGCCTGTGTGTGTATTGTGCCTGGATCCTCTGGGAATGTTAGCGTGAGCCTCTGTACACTCACAACCTGCCCCATCTGCAGCAGACATGGGGGAGAGGGGGTGTCAGTGGAGGAGGTGCTGTTACATTGGATTTAAACACTCCAACACAAAATTCCATGTACGCAAACTGTGTCCACGGATCTGTGGCACCACACACACACACACACAGACACACACAGACACACACACCCCTATTCACAGAAGACAGAAGAGTGGGGCTTGATGGCTGCTGTGTCACACCCAGCCGCAGTCTACAGAACAACCCAGGGGAAGGGGGAAAACTCAGACAACACACAGACTCGAGGTGGGGGCAGAAAGGGCGATTTTGTGCTTCTACACACATCTACACACGCACACACACACACGCTGGGGAGTCCACACGTCTCGAGCATGTGCCGGCGGCATGCATGTTGGTGTGCACGTGTAATCACGCCTGCTGCTATCTACGTGCGGGGTCGGGGGGTGGTCCATGGCGGGGGGAGGTCCAGGGACTCCAGGGTCTGACGGGCAGTAAAGGTTGCGGGTGCTGCCCGGGTCTGTCTTGAGGGTGAGCCTGGAGCAGGGGATGGAGTGAAGGGGTGGTGGGGGTATTGCTCCCGATGTGGTGGGGAAGGGTCTGGGAGGGACAGGGGTGGGGGGCCTACAAGCCCAGCGTCCCCCCAATGGATGACGCCAAGACCACCCCCAGCACCACACAGCAAATGATGATCATGATTTTCTTCTGCAGGCAGGAAGGGCGATAGGGAGGGAGGACACAGAGAGACAGAGAGGTAAAGAGACAGACAAACCGACAGACAGATGGGGAGGAGGGTGTGTGGAAAAAGAAGAGGGGAGAGAAAACAGAAAAAGGAAGAGGTCAGAACCAGAGATAAGGCCTCTCGTGGGATTTCATCACTCACCTCAGCCCTGGCCTGAGCCCAGCCCCGCCCGCTCGGCTCCAGCCCACCTGCTCCACGGCCCGCCTGCCCCGGCTCACCCTCCGGGCCTTGCTCTGATATTTCACAGCTTTCTTGGTGTCAGACACGGCTCGCTCCACGTAGTCCACGGAATGTTCCACATTGTACTCAATGCGGTCAATCATTTCGCCCTGCAGAGGATACATGCATAGGATGGGGTGGGAGCTGGGCTGCAAGAGGGGATCCCGGGGACCCGGGTGAGGTTCCCCGAGGGCTGTGGCAGAGGCAGTACCTGGCTCTCCACAAGCATGGCCATGTCCACAAACATGTCGTGCAGCTCACGGATGCTGGTTTCCAGTTTGATGATCTCGTTGTGCCTTGTCTCGATTTCATTCAGCGCCTGCTTTGTCATCTGCGAGTCCATTTTGATCTAGGGTGAAAGGGGAGGGGCAGGGGGAGAGGGAGGAGAGCGGCAGACCACCCTTCACTCCCGGAAGAGCTTGGATTCTGCGGCCAGAGCGTGTGGGTTCGAACCTGGCTGGCGTTTACTAGCTGTAACCAC